GTGCCTCGCAAGACAAAATTAATTCGTTCCGCAAGTTTTTTCTTCTTGCGAGTTTTTCGTCTTGCGATGCACGGTTTCCCATAGGAATGCATTGAAAATCAATTAATGCGTTCCTATGGAAACCGACTTCAGACCAGGTCCGGGGACAATCTGTCCCCCGACCTCTTCTGAAGGCTGGGGGGGCGAAAGTCTTTGCTCCCCCCCCCACGGCAGCATTTTAAAATCGCCCCGGACAGCGGAGGACTTCTCCGCTGTCCGGGGCGATTTAAAAGCCCTCCCGGGAAGGCAGCCAGGGGGGACAAAGATTTTCTCCGCTCCCCCGGGAGGGCTTTTAAAGGCAGGCAGGCAGGCAGGCAGGCAGGCAGGGGGGACAAAGACTTTCGCCCCCCCCCCCCGCCAGCCTTCAGAAGGCTGGGGGGCGAAAGTCTTTGCTCCCCCCCCCCACGGCAGCATTTTAAAATCGCCCCGGACAGCGGAGAAGATCGCTTCTCCCCTTTGCCGCCCCTTGCTTCAAAAGAGGTCCGGGGAGAAAGGGGAAGACGCCAGCATTTTAAAAAACCTCGGGACAGCGGGGGACTTCTCCGCAGTCCGGGGCGAATTTAAAATGCTGGCGGGCGGCAGCGAAGCCTTCGCTGCCGCCCGCCAGCATTTTAAAAAACCTCGGGACAAAGGAGAAGTCCTCCGCTGTCCCGGGGTTTTTAAAAAACCTCTCCGCCCCCCGCCAGGCTTCAGAGCAGCCTTCTGAAGCCTGGCGGCGGGAGGAGGTCCGAGGACAGTGGGCAAGACGCCCTGTCCCGGAGATTTCCCTATGGGCTTTCGTCTTGCGAAGGAAGCCCATAGGGAAATTCGTTTTGCGAAGTGTCTCCAAAACGGAAAAACCTTTCGTCTAGCGGGTTTTCCATCTTGCGAGGCGTTCGTCTTGCGGGGTACCACTGTATAGTCTATCAGTTGCATCTGCCATTCTTCCAGCGTGGGTAAATCTTGTGTTTTCCAATGTTTAGCGATGAGTATTCTTGCTGCCGTTGTTGCATACATAAAGAAAGTATAGTCCTTCCTTAACACCCTTTGGCTGGCAATGCCCAAAAGCAAAGCCTCTGGTTTCTTAGGAAAGGTATACTTAAATACCTTTTTCAACTCGTTATATATCATTTCCCAGAAGGCTTTAACCCTGGGGCATGTCCACCAAAGGTGAAAAAACGTTCCTTCAGTTTCTTTACATTTCCAACATTTATTATCAGGCAAATGATATATCTTTGCAAGCTTGACTGGGGTCATGTACCACCTGTATATCATTTTCATAATATTTTCTTTTAAGGCATTACATGCCATGAACTTCACACCGGTGGTCCATAACTTTTCCCAGTCAGCCAACATAATGTTATACCCAATGTCTTGTGCCCATTTTATCATAGCTGATTTAACCATTTCATCTTGTGTATTCCATTTTAACAGCAAGTTGTACATTTTAGATAAGACCTTTACCTTAGGTTCTAACAGTTCAGTTTCTAGCTTCGATTTTTCCACCTGGAATCCTATCTTTTCTGCCAGCTCCATACAGCTGTCATTTCTGCCAGCTCCATACAGTGGTGCCTCGCAAGACAAAATTAATTCGTTCCGCAAGTTTTTTCTTCTTGCGAGTTTTTCGTCTTGCGATGCACGGTTTCCCATAGGAATGCATTGAAAATCAATTAATGCGTTCCTATGGAAACCGACTTCAGACCAGGTCCGGGGACAATCTGTCCCCCGACCTCTTCTGAAGGCTGGGGGGGCGAAAGTCTTTGCTCCCCCCCCCACGGCAGCATTTTAAAATCGCCCCGGACAGCGGAGGACTTCTCCGCTGTCCGGGGCGATTTAAAAAGCCCTCCCGGGAAGGCAGCCAGGGGGGACAAAGATTTTCTCCGCTCCCCCGGGAGGGCTTTTAAAGGCAGGCAGGCAGGCAGGCAGGCAGGCAGGCAGGGGGGACAAAGACTTTCGCCCCCCCGCCAGCCTTCAGAAGGCTGGGGGGCGAAAGTCTTTGCTCCCCCCCCCCACGGCAGCATTTTAAAATCGCCCCGGACAGCGGAGAAGATCGCTTCTCCCCTTTGCCGCCCCTTGCTTCAAAAGAGGTCCGGGGAGAAAGGGGAAGACGCCAGCATTTTAAAAAACCTCGGGACAGCGGGGGACTTCTCCGCAGTCCGGGGCGAATTTAAAATGCTGGCGGGCGGCAGCGAAGCCTTCGCTGCCGCCCGCCAGCATTTTAAAAAACCTCGGGACAAAGGAGAAGTCCTCCGCTGTCCCGGGGTTTTTAAAAAACCTCTCCGCCCCCCGCCAGGCTTCAGAGCAGCCTTCTGAAGCCTGGCGGCGGGAGGAGGTCCGAGGACAGTGGGCAAGACGCCCTGTCCCGGAGATTTCCCTATGGGCTTTCGTCTTGCGAAGGAAGCCCATAGGGAAATTCGTTTTGCGAAGTGTCTCCAAAACGGAAAAACCTTTCGTCTAGCGGGTTTTCCATCTTGCGAGGCGTTCGTCTTGCGGGGTACCACTGTATAGTCTATCAGTTGCATCTGCCATTCTTCCAGCGTGGGTAAATCTTGTGTTTTCCAATGTTTAGCGATGAGTATTCTTGCTGCCGTTGTTGCATACATAAAGAAAGTATAGTCCTTCCTTAACACCCTTTGGCCGGCAATGCCCAAAAGCAAAGCCTCTGGTTTCTTAGGAAAGGTATACTTAAATACCTTTTTCAACTCGTTATATATCATTTCCCAGAAGGCTTTAACCCTGGGGCATGTCCACCAAAGGTGAAAAAACGTTCCTTCAGTTTCTTTACATTTCCAACATTTATTATCAGGCAAATGATATATCTTTGCAAGCTTGACTGGGGTCATGTACCACCTGTATATCATTTTCATAATATTTTCTTTTAAGGCATTACATGCCATGAACTTCACACCGGTGGTCCATAACTTTTCCCAGTCAGCCAACATAATGTTATACCCAATGTCTTGTGCCCATTTTATCATAGCTGATTTAACCATTTCATCTTGTGTATTCCATTTTAACAGCAAGTTGTACATTTTAGATAAGACCTTTACCTTAGGTTCTAACAGTTCAGTTTCTAGCTTCGATTTTTCCACCTGGAATCCTATCTTTTTATCCAATTTAAAGACCTCTTTAATCTGAGCATAATGTAGCCAGTCTCGCACTTTATCTTTTAGTTTTTCCGCACTCTGCAGCCTCCAAGAGTCTCCATCTTTCTCTAATATTTCCCAATATTTCGGCCAATTGGCCTCCATATTGAGTTTTTTCAGGGCCTTTGCTTCCAATGGTGACAGCCACCTTGGAGTCTTATTCTCTAGTAGATCTTTATACTTTATCCAAACATTAAACAGTGCTCTTCTGACAATATGGTTCTTGAAAGCCTTATGACTTTTAACCTTGTCGTACCATAAGTATGCATGCCATCCAAAAGAATTATTGAAACCTTCCAAATCTAAAACATCAGTGTTTTCAAGAAGTAGCCAGTCTTTCAGCCAGCAGAATGCTGCCGCTTCATAATACAACCTTAAGTCCGGCAGGGCAAACCCCCCTCTTTCCTTAGCATCAGTTAAAATCTTAAACTTGATTCTGGGCTTTTTGTCCTGCCAGACAAATTTCGAAATATCTTTCTGCCACCTCTTGAAGCACTCCATTTTATCCATAATTTGTAAAGTCTGAAACAAGAACAGCATTTTTGGCAATACATTCATCTTTATAATGGCAATTCGTCCCATCAGGGAAAGTTTCAGTCTAGACCAACTTTCTAAGTCCCTTTTGATTTCTGACCAACATTTCTCATAGTTGTCTTTAAACAAGCTCATATTCTTAGCTGTTATGTTTACCCCTGTGGGGTTTTTTGGGTCCGTGAAAATTTCATAAATAATTAAGGTTGTTTTCTGCATTTTTGATATTTCCCTTCTGTTGAAATGCACCGAAGTGAATTACGTAATTAACTATGTTAGCTTCAGCCGTAGTGGATAGCAAGACGAACAAAATAGGTTTTAGCAGGAAAATGTTATGAAAATGATATATAGGTGATATTGAACACCAGTTAAACTGGCCAAAATGTATAGAACAAAAAATGAATTTTGGAAATGTAAGGAAAAGGAAGGTACTTTTTACCATACGTGATGGGCATGTAAAGGAGGTAAAAGCTTTCTGGGAAATGATATATAATAAGTTAAAGAAAATGTTTAAAAACACCTTTGTTAAAAAAAACAGAAGCTTTTATGTTGGGTATAGTGGGTAGAGAGATACTGAGACAAGATAAAAAAAATTGTTCTTATATGCAACAACTGCAGCAAGAATTTTGTTAGCCCAAAGATGGAAACAACAGGAGTTACCAACAAAAGAATAGTGGCAGATGAAGCTGATGGACTTAGCAGAACTGGCGAAACTGACAGGAAGAATCCAGAACCAGCGAGACCAAGCATTCCAAAATTCTACCTATTAAGGTTGAGTAATATAATATTTTAGGTAATGATATAACAAGGATAAGAAATGAAGCAAAATGTAAAGATGTAAAGTTTAATTTTGTAAACCATCAGACGGGAGGGAGGGAAGAAGTTAGGCTCAGTTGAGCCAAAAATAAGAGGGTACAATGTTACGTAATGTGATTATATGTAAAACCAATAAAAATCATTTATAAAAACAAAACAGGTTTTAGCCAAACTTATAGTGGCGCTGATTGTGATGAACACAGGGAAGAATGGAAATTTCCACCCCTTGACATCCCTACTGCCAACAGGTGAAGCTTATCCAAGAAGGGAGATCTGGGAATCTGAAATGAAATGTCAGTTGCTGTCTGTGGAGACACACAACTCTTTGTCCGTAAAAGAAAAGGTAACAACTTGAGCCAGGGTTCCTGGAAGTTGCCCTCTCCCCACATCGCCCTGCTTCCCATCCACCACGTAGAGTCCAAGTTAATCGCACATCCAACCCATGACTGAGTTTTTTATTAACCACCACTCCTAGAGGAGCTGCCCCAGAGAGTTCCTTGACTTTGCCTACTTGACTGCGGGAGAGTCAGAGCTTGAGGCACCATGGAGGAGGAATCGCCAGTTCTTGCGCCAGAGAGGGCGGCCATCAACAATCCAGCAGACATTTCCGTCATCTGCTTCTACTTCCTTGCGGTCATTGGAGTCGGTCTGTGGGTATGTATGTGGGGGGGGGTGCTCCTCTCACATAAACACGATTCCCTCATCTAGGGGTTTTTGCAGACTGTCTTTATTTTCAGGTGGGATTCCATCCCATCCTGGAAAATTCAGGTTGTGCAATTAGTTGATTGGGAGCTCCTGTGCAACAGACTTTTTTCTCCTCCCCTGAAACCAGACTTTTTGCAACAAGTCATGGGAAAATGCACCGGGAAATGAGTCTGTTTGATGCACAACATCATCTAATCTCCCTGCAAACAGATCCCAATGAATGCTCAATAAACAGGCAGTCTGGAAGTGGCCTAGGAAAGGAAGGACTCAGTTTCTCACTTAGAAAACAAAGACACTGCCTTGCTGTGGGGAAGGAATTGGAACCAGTATTTGAGGGTAAAATATGGAGCTGTCAGAGCCAAGCCAGGACAAAGAGCATACCATCACCTATTTTTCTGTTACTCAGCTCATTTCCTTGCATAGCTCAAGAGATTCCTGCATTGTAAGGGGTTGGACTAGATGGACTCCCTTCCAAATCTACAATTCTGAGATTCTATTATTCTAGCCCAAACACAACTCATCCACCCACCATCATCTCTCCATTTGAGTCTTCCATGTCTTCTCTCGTAGTATTTCAGGTTCGTCTATTCATTTTCAAGGCAACTTGGGTCCAGGGTCTCTTAAGGACAGCCTGATTCCATATATCCCTGGCCTGACCACTGAGATATGTGGGGGGGTCTCTGTTAGTGGCCCCCAATGCCACCGATACACGGTTGTATCTACCAGAAGCCACACATTCAATATTGTGAATCCAATCCTATGGAAAGCCCCCCCCCCAGCTGAAATTAGACAGAACCACCCCCACCACCCCACCCCCACTGAATGTCAAGCGCTTGACAAAGACTTTTCCATTCCAGCAGGCATTTTAAGTTCCCTGTTTTGATAATAAATTTTCATTTATTTTAGCCACTGTGTGTTGGCGGGGTGGGGATAGATTCTAATTGGTTTTATCCATCGTATACTTTTTAGAATTTCTTTATGTAGACTGCTTAGAAATCCTGGAGATTAAGTGTCCTGTATAAATAGCATAAATAAAACAAATTTACAGAAAGGAGCTGAAGTGCTAGACTCAAATGCACTCTAACAGTTCACTGAAGGGATTACTCAGTTACAAAATGTCATTAATAATAACCATAAGCATGAAAAAGGCAGAATAAATTTGTGTGGGTGCTGGTCCATTAGGGCTGCTCCTCCAACTTTGGTTGGCTTTCAGCCAGCCCCCACCAGACCACCTTATTACTTGCAACCAGGCTGGGGGGCATTGCCCGTCAGCTTCCTCCTCTTGATCTTAGTGTTTCTCTTCTAGATGCCTTCAGGGAGGAGGTTGGGGAGCAAAACTAGACTCCACCTATCACTGGCTCTCAGTCCACCTCCTGTGGTCCTCCCTGCCTTCCACCCTTCCAGTCCCAACTGGGCAGAAGACACCAACTGATAAATTTGCCCGAAGGTTGGAGCAGATGTTTTCAGAAACACACCACACCCTGTTCAGTTTTGTTAAAGCAGCTACACTGGCTGCCCATCTGCTTCTGAGCCAGAAACAAGATTCTTGTATTAATTTACAAAACAACTTTGGTCCAGGGTAGCTCAGAAACCACCTAAACCTTTCTTTCCCAGCTCAATCCTGAGATCATTTGCAGGAGCATCGGTGGTCATTCGCCGATTTTGCAAGGCTCATTTGCTGTTGAAACCTGATTGTCATCCCTGATTGACAGGTCGATGTGTCAACACATGGAATGGGACCAAGTTTCAAACCCATGAAAGGCCACTGTGAGCCTATATTGACACCTCTCAAGGATGCAACTATCACTCCTTCTTTTTTAAAGCCTGATTAATATATCAAACTTCTCCCAAGGCACTGCAGATAAATACAAAGATTTAAACTAATCTGTGTATACCTAAACTGCAAGTTTTATTGTTTAGTCATTTAGTCCTGTCCGACTCTTCGTGAGCCCATGGACCAGAGCACGCCAGGCACTCCTGTCTTCCACTGCCTCCCGCAGTTTGGTCAGACTCATGTTTGTAGCTTTGAGAACACTGTCCAGCCATCTCGTCCCCTCCTCCTTGTGCCCTCCATCTTTCCCAACATCAGGGTCTTTTCCAAGGAGTCTTCTCTTCTCATGAGGTGGCCAAAGTATTGGAGCCTCAGCTTCACAATCTGTCCTTCCAGTGAGCACTCAGGGCTGATTTCCTTAAGAATGGATAGGTTTGATCTTCTTGCAGTCCATGGGACTTTCAAGATTCTCCTCCAGCACCATAATTCAAACTGCAAGTTACTTGGATGTTATTAACTAAGTTATTTTTTTAAATGTGTTAAATTTAACTGGGGGCAGTCTGTTCCGTTATGCCGCCTGAGGTGGCTACTTCCTGACCCTGTAAATGCAGTTGAGGAACCTAGAACCTAGAACCCAAACACTGCCTCAAGACTTTCCTTTGCTGTTTTCCTCTCCTACAGGGTTCCTCTGCCCCACATTCAAGCAGGGAGGCCTGTCATGCTAGGCATATTTTCTGCTTTTCTCCCCATCCTTGTCTCTTCTCTTTGATCCTAGGCCTGGTCGTTCCAGATGGGTTAATGATTGCGAAAAGTTACACCGGTCAGGAATGTACTAGCAAGCTGGTAATGAGGTGTAAAATTGAACAGATTAGCAATTGAACAATCTGTTCCCTAGAGGATGGGCTCCATTCCCTCTGTGCTTGTCTCCTTTTGATGCAGCCAGGGCAAGTAATACGCCCCATATTATAACACACACAGAGACCCCAAAATGGCTGAGCCCTTCCACAATGTCTACTCACACCACCTTTCCTCTCTCTCTTGCCTCACAGTCGATGTGCCGGACCAACAGGGGTACCGTCAGGGGATATTTCTTGGCTGGTAGGAACATGGTGTGGTGGCCGGTGAGTAACAGAAAATGGACAGGAACAAAGGAAGAGATGGGAGCCCTGGGGCTTGGGAACAGGGGGGAAAGAGGCCCCAAATCAGAGAATGGGAAAGCTTTTTCAGCCTGAGGGCCACATTCCCCTTTAAGGCAACTTTCTGGGGGACGCAGGTCAAGTGCACAGGCAAAAATAGGTGAAGCCGTGGATGTTTACCTTTGTACAGTAGGCTAGTTTCCAGACAGAGTCACACACCCCTCCCTCCCCACCAGTCAGGGAAGCAAAAGGCATTACTAGAATTTAAGGACACATCCCCATGAAGGTGTGAAGCAAGGCTGCTTAGGGGTGTGGCCCTGGGGAGAGCCCCAAGGGCCAGAGAGATGTATTTGACCCCCAGTCCTGAGGCTCGAAACACCTGCCCCAAATACTTCAGGTTGGGGAGAGGGATGGATAGGAATGAAATAATATTATGAGAATGGGAGGGTGGGAAGATAGATCAGAAGACAGGGAAGATCAGGAGCGAAGAGGAAAAATACAGAGAAGCAAAAAGAAAGTGAGAAATAAATTAAGATGATGAACAGGCATGGCAGGGAGAGAATTAAAATATTTAGGACATTGGATGAAATTGGAGACAGGAGGGAAGAGAGGGAAGAAGCACCAAGGTCAAGATGGTGGGTGGGCTTTGGTCTTTTGGTTGGTGGTGTGCGTGGGGAACATCAAGCCCTATTCCTTCTTTGGCGGTTGGTGTGCCCACAGATCGGCGCCTCTCTCTTTGCCAGCAACATCGGCAGCGGTCATTTTGTGGGCTTGGCAGGCACTGGGGCAGCGACCGGCCTGGCCGTGGCAGGATTCGAGTGGAACGTAAGCAATGGGCTGCAGGCTCCATCTTTCTTTTTCGGGGAAACACAGCGTGCGGGTGGGGAGGCAAGATGCTTTCATTCGGCGAACGGAAACTGCAAGCGGGACTGATCACATACACACTTGGATCGGGGCCTGCTGTCACCTGGGCAGCTTTCTGAGGGCCACCTGCCATCTGTGGGTGGGCCATAGTGGAAAGTGGGAGGGGCAACACATGCAAAATTCTACCTTTGTACAGTAAGCTAGTTTCTAGGCATACGCACACTCCGTCCTTCACCCAGGCCGTCCAGAGGCAAGATCAGAGTGCAAGGGAACATTTCAGCCAAGCACAAGCACTCAAGGAGGGTGTGAAGCAGGGGCCAGTGAGTGGTTTGGCCTGGGAAGAGTTCCGAGGGCCAGGCAGAGAGGTATTGAGGGCCACATCTGGCCCCCAAGCCTGAGGTTCACCACTTTTCCTATAGACATTCAACTGGTGTTGATTTTCCCAATGTGAAAAGGCAGCAATAGAGGAAACTTCACCCATTACATTTCTGCCTCTTACGTACATGTTAATGACATAGAAGCCCTACCAAAAAACAAGATTATTATTTTTTAAGTGAGAACTTGAACCACCCTAACCCACTTCTCTCTTTCCTCCCAGGCTCTCTTCCTTGTTCTCCTCCTAGGATGGCTCTTCGTCCCGGTCTACCTCACAGCTGGGGTAATAAGAACACACGTTGCTTGCTTCTTTGTGACATTTTTAATCTCTTCAAGGAACCCAGGGTAGCCCCATGGTTCTCCCTGACTCCAATTTTTTTCCTCACAACTGTACTGGGTGAGGAGGTGGGTTGGGCTGAGAGATGGGGACTGATCTGCAGTCACCCAGCTAGCATCATGGCTGCGCAGAAGTTTGAACTCAGGTCTCCCATGTCTAAATCCAGCATTCTTAACTCCCTGGCTATGTCGAACATTGACTGGTGTGTGAAAACTGAGGGCACGAGAAGAGGAAGATGCTGTGTGGGTCTGGGTGGCAAGAGAAAAGAGGATGGAAAACCAGGATGTCTATCCTCGGGTCTAGGAGGGGACTAGTAGGTTGGGAATGGAAGAGCAGAGCTAAAATATTGGATTCATCCCAGGGAGCATGCTAAGAAGCTCACCCTTGGAACAAGAAGCTCCTCTTTTTCCATATACAGTGGTACCTCGGGTTACATACACTTCAGGTTACATACGCTTCAGGTTACAGACTCCGCTAACCCAGAAATAATGCTTCAGGTTAAGAACTTTGCTTCAGGATAAGAACAGAAATCATGCTCCAGTGGCGCAGCAGCAGCGGGAGGCCCCATTAGTTAAAGTGGTGCTTCAGGTTAAGAACAGTTTCAGGTTAAGAACGGACCTCCGGAACGAATTAAGTACTTAACCCGAGGTACCACTGTACAGCTGTGTGCCATTAATACCTATTTATTAGACCAGGTGTGGAGAACCTGGGACCTTCCAGATGTTGCTGAACTACAAGCCATTGAGCCCCGGCAAGCTTGGCCATTGCCCAGGGATCATGGGAGTTGTAGTTCAGCAACAATCTGGAGGGACAAAGGTTCCCCACACCTCTACTACACCAATAAGCTTCAGATTTAAGCAGAGTATTCATTTTAAATGTGCAATCAAATGTTAACAACAAGTTGACTTTAAATTTATCATCATAATGTAAGCTTTAAAAAAAGTCAACAATCACACACACAAATTACATGTCTAGAAAGGCTTGCCAAAGAAGAATGGCATTTTTAGCAGGCATCTAAAACAGTAGTGCAAAGTTGCCTGTTTAATGTCAATGGGCAGGGAATTCCAGGGTTTAGGCGTTGCCCCTCTGAAAGATTAACTCCTTGCTAGTGCAGAGCGAACATTATGCGGTTCTTGTTTATTGCTATGAAAGACAGCAGTGACATCTCCCCTGCTGCTTCCTCCCCCTGCAGGTCATCACGATGCCACAGTACCTGAAGAAGCGCTTTGGAGGCAAACGTATCCGACTCTACCTCTCCGTCCTCTCCCTTTTCATGTATATCTTCACCAAGATCTCAGTAGGTCATTTCTCTGGGCATGAAGAACTGAGAGGGTGGGCAAGTGGGTGCAGGATTTCCAACAAGGGTTCAGCTGGTCCACTTCCACCTGAGGAGAGAAGGCCATTTTAATGGTGAACGGAAGCTGCCCGGCAAAGCCTGTCCCCTCACCCAGCCTCCTCTTGGAGAGGGAAGAACCCCTTTCCCAGTCTGATTTCTTTGGGGACCATTAGCCATGATCTATGGACTTGGGCTTTCTCTTTCTCACCTGGCAGGTGGACATGTTCTCTGGAGCCGTCTTCATCCAGCAAGCTTTGGGCTGGAATATTTATGTGGCCGTCATAGCCCTCCTGATCATAACCACCATTTACACAGTGACAGGTAACTGGAACGTTGAAATGGTTATCGGAACAGGCTGGAGGCAGGGAATACAATAGAGAACTGGGTTGCCAACCAGCCATGAGAGAGAGGCAGCCTGACCTGTTCATGCCCCTTTAACCACAGCAGAAACCAGCTTTTCAGACCGCCAACCTGTTAACTGCTGCAAGTCAACGTGCTTGACAGGTACAGGGGCAAATGACACCTCATCCCCAGAGTCAAGCTATATTATACTAATAGCTTTCTTCCTCTTCTTCTTCTTCTTCTTCTTCTTCTTCTTCTTCTGCAATCACTTGTAGCCGAGTAAGATTGTCTTCCATAAACACAGTTTTAACAGTGAGTCTGTAAGTGACTGTGGAGGCCAATTATGGATCCACATGTCCTTCCACAGTGGGGACATCTGTGTGGATTTGCCAAGCGTGCCTTCCTCTTAGCACGTTTCTTCTTTTTGTCGTGAGTTTGAGCATCTTCAAAGCCCATGATACTAATAGCACCCAGGGCTAGTCAAGGGTTTGTTTGTTTGCTTGCTTGCTTGCTTGCTTGCATCTGAGACAGAAAATCCCACATAGAATCATAGAGTTGGAAGAGACCACAAGGGCCATCGAATCCAACCCCCTGCCAAGCATGTGCCTCTTCCCATCCCAGGCAGCAAAGAGAAAATAAGAATGAATTAAATAATAAAATATTTGCTGCCATTTTGTGAAACTGCTGGTCTAACGGAAGGACAGGCAGTCATTTCTAGTTCATAAGATGGAAACCTCAAAGAGGTAGATAGGCAGGTCTGTGCACATATGTGGAAGAGAGAGAGAATGGGAGAGGGAGAAAAGGGAAGCAGTGTGTGTATGTATGTGAGAGGAGAAGAGTGTGTATGTATGAGTGAGAGAGATTGAAAGGCAAGCTCTCTCTCTCTCTCTCTCTCTCTCTCTCTCTCTCCCTCTCGTGTGTGTATGTGTGTGTGTGTGTGTGTGTGTGTGTGTGTGTGACAGAGAAGAAATGCTGTGCCAAGCATGGCCGTTACTCCTTGCATTAACCAAGTTAATTGCATACGATTTCCCAACAAAACATAGGCTAAGGGACCACCCACCAACCCACCCCCTGCTTAGAAATGGACTTTGCACTCTTTGTGTGTTTGAATCACAAAGGAGGGAGCCTCTTCTCACTGCATTATCTCCCCTTCCCTCCATCCCGGCACGTAGGCAATCTTACCCCTGGGAACATTACGCACATTTTCTGCCCTCAGATCTTCAAGCGCAGCCTTTTCTGAGTAAACTCCAGTTTCCCACCCCCAGCTTCTATTTGCCCCAGGTAGAACTAAAAACTGTGGGAGGCAGTGGAAGACAACAACAAGAAGAAGAACTAAGCTCTATTTGGCTCCAAAAACTGCTTCCTGGGCTAATAGGAGCAGCTGAGGAGGAGGAAAGGATTCAACCCCCTTTCCCCAAACTGGGGGACCCCACTTCTATGAGGCACTTTTAAAAAATAAGACACAGCAGCAAGGGCTAAGGGCCTAACTCTGACTGAAAATATGCAAAGAAATGTACCTCAGACCATGGGCAGAATGCCTCAGTAATGCATAACCGCTGCTTACACACCCCACTGAGGTTTGGTGCTCTGGGCATTCAAGTGTTGTTTCCTTGAAGAGTTGAGGCATTCCCTATTTTTCGAAAAATTAATAACAAACAGGCTAGGCTACCTGAAAATGGCAAACATCAATGGCACGTATAATAAAGCTACTACTGATCCACAGATTAGGCACCCATTTTTCAAAGCACTGTCATTCCAAGACGCTTCCACCTCATGGATGAAGTTGCCGATGTTTCTAGTTTTCTGTCGTGAAATCATTGGCTGCGATTGTTTTTAGAACGCGTTTTGTCATCTGCACATTAACCACTCCTTTGGGAAGGAGGGCAGGATATAAACTGAAGGGATGTACAACTGAAGGGAAAGGCTCCTGTGCCTTTAAATACCTATGCAGCAGGCAGAGCTTCAACGGGCAAAGCTTTGCCTCATCCTGAGGGAGAGTTCACCTGTTGAATTTCTGACTGACATTAAGGATCACTGCCAGAAAAAAAAATAAGCAGCCTGACCAGTGATGAGCAGGAAGAACAGGTCTGGTTATTCCTTTAATGCCCTTGAGAAACCCTGAGCTGTTGCTGGTCTGTGTTGTAGTGGTAGTATTTTGACAGAGCCTCTTGCGCACATACGGCTTTACAGAGTTTAAGAGGACAGGTCTTTGCCCTGAGGAGCTTACAGTCTAAAGTGCAGCTGGTGCCAAGTGAGATGGATCAACCAAATGACAAGGTGATCCCCAGGATCCCTGTTCCAACTCTGCAGCTCTATGATTCTATGATTTAGTGCAGTAATATGGTTCCCTATGACCTGTGCATGGCCTTCTCCTGTCTTTCCTCCAGGTGGGTTGGCAGCGCTGATGTTCACAGACACAATCCAGTCATTCGTCATGATTGGTGGATCCTGTGTCCTGATGGGGTTTGGTGAGTAGGTCACTTCCCGTGGAAGATATGACACTGAGGCATGGGCATCATATTGGTAACAGAGGCAGTGGGGTGCAATGGTTAGAGGTTTGGACGAGGACCTGGAAGACCAGGGTCCAAGTCCTCACTGGGTGACCTCGGGGCAGTCACTGACTCTTAGCCAGACCCTGCCTCACAGGATTGTTGTGAAGATAAAATGGGGAGGAGATAGGATCCACCCCTTATGCCACCTTAAGGTCCTTGAAGGTGGGACATTAAACAAATCAACAAACAAGCTTTTAATCAGTGCTAAAATGCTTTCCCCACTGTTTTTCAAAGAAATATATTAGATATTAATGAAATATTTTCTGAACTTAAAACAATGGAAAAAGTGGTGCTTAAATTAAAGTGATAAAGAGAGCTATAAAGCTAAAATGCTTTTTTAAAAAATAAAACTCTGGTCATCACCATTTTAGCAATTTCCTCCACATTTCCAGTCTACATTTCTGATCTAAAACACTTCTTTTTTTTACCACCACCACTCCACAAAAAACCCATATCCTGAGTTGCACTGGTGCTAAATAAATATTTTTACTTATTTTTTAACTAGGATTATTATTTTTGATGAGATAACTCAGCTGTGCATCTTCCACATTTCATCTCGGTATCCCTTGTACAACTCTGGTTTGAAAGTCTTGTTGTAAAAACAATCTTTATTTGTGATTTATTTGTGGTGGAGAAAGCCTGGATTCTTTTGAGGTTGGAAGGAAAAGTCTGGGCAACCGTAGCAGATGTTTGGGGTGACATTATGAGTGGGTGTGCCATTTCCTGTCTTTAAATTGCCTCTATTCCGCTGCAGCCTTTAACGCAGTGGGAGGATACCAGGCGATGTTCGACAAGTACATGCAGGCCCTTCCCAGGCAGACCCTCTCCCCGAACCCCGCTCTCTACAACATCTCAGCCTCCTGCTACCTGCCCCGCGAAGACTCCTTTCAGATGATGAGAGATGCCGTCGTCAGCGACATGCCCTGGCCGGCTGTTATCCTTGGCCTCTCCATCAATTCTCTCTGGTACTGGTGCACTGACCAGGTAAGGCAAGGGCGAGAGTATCTCTCTCTCTGCCTGGTTCTATCGCAGTCTCCTAATGCCCTCTTGCACAAGATCATACTCTTTTCCTCTGGATTTCAACACCCAGTTTCTGACTCACCGCCTTTCTAATGTAAAAAGCCTCAAACATTGTAACTTTTCTGCAACCAGAACTTGATCATTCTGGTTGCAGTTTCCTGCACCTTTTCCAGCTTTGCGCTATTTGAGTTGCAATGGCCAGAACTGTATATACAGCAGTGGTTCCCAACTGGGGGTCCGCATAACCCACCCAGGGGGTCCCCATGGCACCATTCACATAAGAAAAACTACCATAGAGATATCATAACCTTCAAAAGTAGGGGGACCATGGCTTGGCGTTTGAAAAACAGGGGGTCTGCAGTACTTAGCCAATTGGAAAACACTGGTATTCAGTTTTTCCAAGTGCAGCTGCACCATAGATTTGCGCAAAGTGGGCTGGGAAACCTCCTGCTAGCCAATTAAAAAAAGAAAAGGCCATTTGTCAATTAGCTGATGTCATCCTGATGGGCAGGGGATGTCAGATGACGCACTGTGGGGTTTGAGTTTGCTCAGTTTGGCTGTGTGGCACTGTTCCCTGCCTATCAGTTCATATGTGGGGATGTAGAGGTGTTAAATCCTGCAGGGACCTACTGTGCATAGTCAATCCTTGCAAAAAGCAGAATTTATGAGCAGCGATTTACATCCTGCTCCACCCCTGTCCGCCAGCTTTGACAGATGAGAGGGGTATAAACATTATTATTATTAGTGGTTTTTGCTATTGAAAGGTGTGTGGTCTCACCTCTCTGCCAAGCACCTGAGATCATGATGACATTTGTTGAATGACAGGTGAGGGATCCTCAGGGTAAAATCCACCCCACCCCGATGTAAAGGCATTAGCTAAATCATGGAAAAGATGACTGGCAGCAAAAGTTCCTGTTTTCATCCCGCACAGGTGATCGTGCAGAGGTGCCTTGCTGGGAAGAACCTCACCCATGTCAAAGCCGGCTGCATCCTTTGTGGCTACCTCAAACTGCTGCCCATGTTTCTTATGGTTATGCCCGGCATGATCAGCCGGATCCTGTATCCAGGTAAACACCTGGGGAGGGCTGGGGAAGCAGGTCGGAACTGGGGGAAGGAGGCCATGTACTGGTATTCCATGAAGGCGGAAAAGGTTTGGAGTGCTTTCCTGATCTCAGGGCATGCCACTGGTGCTGGACCGCCAACGTACAACGCAACCACAACCTTCAGTCCTGTCACCAGTGGCCTGAATAGAGCTGACGGGCTTTTATTCTCAATATATAGGTTGCCCTCACTAACCACTGCTGTTGCGACTGGGCAGCTGCGCTTATTCTGCATGCATTTAAGATTTAATCAGATAATCTTAGGCCGTGGTACATTTGTTAGCCTGCAACCACCACAAAGCTCTCTCCTGCTTTTGCTGAAAAATACTAACACAGTTACCATTCCAGAAGCTGAAAAGTGAGTTTGGTTCCTCTCAGCAAGTAGAAACTTCCAGCTCTCCAGCTTTTTCCTCCACTTTCGTTGTGGCCTTGGGGACCTCAAGAGATTGCTGGCGGTTTAAGAATTTAGGTTGCATGCACACCATACATTTAAAACACATTTTCCTGCCAAAGATTCCTGGGAACTCTAGTTTAAGGGTGCAGGGGATTGTGGCTATGTGGGGGGTAAACTAAAAGTTCCCATGATTCTTTGAGGGTGGGATGTAAGTACCTATTTAGACATTGGCTACCTACAATGTAAAGGGACGCGGGTGGCGCTGTGGTCTAATCCACAGAGCCTAGGACTTGCCGATCAGAAGGTCGGTGGTTTGAATCCCCGCGACGGGGTGAGCTCCTGTTGCTCGGTCCCTGCTCCTGCCAACCTAGCGGTTCGAAAGCACGTCAAAGTGCAAGTAGATAAATAGGTACTGCTCCGGCAGGAAGGTAAACAGCGTTTCCATGCACTGCTCTTGTTTGCCAGAAGCTGCTGCTGGCCACATGACCCGGAAGCTGTACGCCAGCTCCCTCATGATGAGCGCCACAACCCCAGAGTTGGTCACGACTGAACCTAAGGGTCAGGGGTCCCTTTACCTTTACCTTACCTACAACAGATAGGTAGCCGTGTTGGTCTGCCATAGTCAAAACAAAAAAATTCCTTCCAGTAGCACCTTAAAGACCAACTAAGTTAGTTCTTGGTATGAGCTTTCGTGTGCATGCAGTGTATCTGAAGAAGTGTGCATGCACACGAAAGCTCATACCAAGAACTAACTTAGTTGGTCTTTAAGGTGCTACTGGAAGGAATTTTTTTGTCTTACCTACAACGTAAAAGCCAACGCCTCTGGCCCAGCACCCAGTAAGTGGCGCGCACACAAAACATCAGTCCAGAATTGATGGCACCCCTGCAGTCTTCCCATGACACCTGCAGCTCCCCCCACAACTCACCGGTCCTTGGGCATGAGGTGGTTGTCTTTACCTTCCTTGAAAAATACACAGAGCTGAAACAAGGAAGTTGGAAGAATGCCACACCTTCCCCTTTCAGCTCTGTGGGCCTTTCCAGGCTCAGAATAAGTCTGCAGAATCAGACTTTCATCCAAATCCTTTGGAAAAGAGAAGTGGGTGTGCACACAATTTCTCACTTCCTGTCTCTCTGCAAGTGGGGAGAAGGGGCGGCCCCCACGACCCTCATTCAAAGATCCAAATGTACTGACAGGCCGGCGACCCCTGCAGTTATTTTAATCTGGGAGTTACATTGCGTCCCCTCTGCTTTCTCAGACGAAGTGGCTTGCGTCATCCCAGAGGAATGCAAAAGGATCTGTGGCACGGAAGTTGGGTGCTCCAACATTGCGTACCCCAAACTGGTGGTGTCTCTCATGCCGAGTGGTAAGGAGCGGTGGGGTTAAGGGGAGGGCGGGTTTCGCCTGACTTTATTGCGCTTGAAATCCTGAGTCCTTTGGAACCCACTGCGCTCGCCTTATTATGGATTCTGACCAGCTCCATCTGTGTCACCTGAGAGATGCTGAGCTCCAAGGAAGACGGACCTGCTTCCCTTCCCACTTCATTGTGTCTCCCCTCTGCAGGCCTCCGGGGTCTCATGCTGGCTGTGATGCTGGCGGCATTAATGAGCTCGCTAGCTTCCATCTTCAACAGCAGCGGTACCCTCTTCACCATGGACATCTACAACCGCCTGAGGCCGCAAGCCAGCGACAAGGAGCTCTTGATCGTGGGCAGGTGAGGAAGAGCGCTGGGTTGTGCCACCATAGCTGTCGACGTTTCCCTTTTTTAAAGGAAAACTCCCTTATTCCAAATAGGATTCCTCACAAGAAAAGGGGAAAGTTGACAGCTATGTGCCCCAAACCCATTGAGTACCACTTCATTCATTAAGATAACTTAATGGAGCCCTATAGCAGAAATGGGGAGCTCAGGACGGGTCCAGTTTGCCTCCATTCTGCTGTAGGGACATATTCGAAAATCCTAGAAACTGTCACGGAACAAATACACTTTTTACATTAGAAAAACTAGCAACAACCACAGGCCAGATATGTTGACTGCCAAGGTGGCTTTTGTAAAAATTCTTTTGGAAAACCAAACCAGGTGATGCCACAGCACAAGGCAAGGATCTGCAGAAATCTCTCCCCAACTGCAACCAAGCACCGCTCGCTAAATGCCTTTGGTGCTGCCTCCATCGTCCTGCTCTCCCCGAGGGGGGGGTGCTGCGTTCTCACCTTGCTGTTGCTCCCCACAGAGTGTGGATCCTGCTCCTTGTTGGGGTGAGCATTGCGTGGATCCCAGTGGTGCAGGCAGCCCAGGGGGGCCAGCTCTTTGACTACATCCAGTCCGTCAGCAGCTACTTGGCCCCACCAATCGCAGCCATCTTTCTCCTTGGGCTCTTTGTCAAAAGAGTTAATGAGCAGGTGAGTGACATTCAGGAAGGGGCCAGCATGGGAAAGGGACACTCAGTCAGTGGAGAGGAAAGCCAGGTGCCTAAGATAAAGGGAATTTAAGTGATAGGCAGTAGCCATTTTGGGATATGGAATTCAGGTGCTCGCGGGATGGGGAAACCCTGGAATAGAAGATACAGTGGTACCTCAGGTTACATACGCTTCAGGTTACATACACTTCAGGTTACATACGCTTCAGGTTACAGACTCCGCTAACCCAGAAATAGTGCTTCAGGTTAAGAACTTTGCTTCAGGATAAGAACAGAAATTGTGCTCCGGCGGCGCAGCAGCAGCAAGAGGCCCCCATTAGCTAAAGTGGTGCTTCAGGTTAAGAACAGTTTCAGGTTAAGTACGGACCTCCGGAACGAGTTAAGTACTTAACCCGATGTACCACTGTACAGAGAAGTCACTGCAAAGAAGCCTAACTCTCCATAAAGCATGTCACAGGTTTATTTTAGGATCCATCCTTGTTCAGGTTCTACTGCGGACCTCAATTTTAGGGTGCAGCACAGGGGACCAAAAAGAACAGGACAAGCAAATATTTGGGTTAGAAAGCATTCAAAGCAGCCAGACCTAGCCCAGCCCCTTGGCTCTGTTGTTGTTCATCCTTCTCTTTCACCCTGTTTTTCTCTCTCCCTCTTTAGGGTGCATTCTGGGGGCTGGTGGGGGGGCTAGCCATAGGCATGGCCCGGATGATCCCGGAATTTTTTTACGGGACAGGAAGTTGCCTCTTCCCCAGCACCTGCCCCCGCCTGATCTGTGGAGTCCACTATCTCTACTTTGCTTTCATCCTCTTCTGCCTCACGGCCACCATTGCGATGGGTGTGTCTCTCTGCACCTCACCTATCCCTGAGAAACATGTGAGTATAGAGGCCGGGTGGGCAGAGGAATCCACGTGAACCTGGCACACGAAACCTAAACTGGGGGCTTCAGGGTGACAATGCCTCACTGCCAAGACAACTGAAGGTTGCCACCTCCAAATCTGCAGCCTCGAAAAGCGCAACTCTAGTTTACAGTCTTTAAATGCATGGTGGGGGTGTAGCTCATTTTGGGGAAGGCTGGCCTAGTGGTATGAAAGACGAGCCACAGAAAAGTATATTTAGAGCACACACAAGAATCCTGGGAACTGTTGTTTTCCCCATCACAAAACTATAGTTCTCATCGCATTTAACAAACTACGGTCCAACTACCAGCCAGTTGACGGAGTGGGCCCCCCCCATTTGTTCTCTGGCACAGAGCCACTTCCTTTGGTCCCTTAATGGCCCATTACCCAGGCTATCACCTCACTAGGAAGCTAGCCTGGCTACTCCAAGACTTAGAAGGGGGCCCAGGCATACAACCTACCCGTCTGCCAACGCATAACAATACTATATTTGCCCATCCATTGTCAAGGGAAGGAGAGGAGGGCTTGGGCAGGTGAGCAACGCGACCATGCACCTTGCGTCTAACCAAACCACCTGTCTTGCCACCCTAGCTGCATCGCCTGGTGTTCAGCCTCAGACACAGTAAAGAGGAGCGAGTTGATCTGGACACAGAGGAAGAGGAGGAAGCCAAACAAAGGGAGGCTGCCCGGCAGCGGCGCTGGGAACATGCAGAGATGGAAGCCGCCAGGAACGGGAGGCTGGAGCAGGCGCTGGAGGTGGAGGGTGAGGCAGAGAGGAGGCTTCGTATCGCAAGGGTGGGAAGCCTTTTGCACCCCAAGGGCCATGTTCCCTCCTGGACAGCTTTCCGAGGGCCACACGCAGGGTCAGGTGCAAAAGTGGGAGGAGCAGCAAATGCAAATTTTACTTTTGTGAAGTAGGGCAGATACACACTCACACACCTGTCTTGATCACCCATTCAGAGACATGAGTTCAAGGACACATTCCAGCCAGGCCAAAACAACTGAGTTTTGAGGCAAAGCCAGTGAGAGGCAAAGTCCTGGGGAAAGTTCCAAGGGCCAGTGAGAGGGGCTCATGGGGCCACATTCGGCCCTGAGCCAGTATCAGGAGATGAGAGGCAGGCCATCCCACTTTTCCCCTCTTAACTATCCCTGCAGGAGGCCCCAAACCACTTATTACTCAGTGGCGTCGTTTTCCTTCTGAGGTGGCCTCGGTCACGCAGCCTTGTAGGCCCTGACCATCCTCTGTTTCTTCCCCTCCCCACACAGATCCCAAAGCAGCGGCCTCCTCTGGCAGGCTGCGCCGGTGCCTCGGCTGGTTCTGTGGGATGGCGGCAGACAGCCAGGAGCAGCCAGAGCCGAGCCCAGAAGAGAAAGCTGAGGAGCTGCGGCGCCTGACAGACATCACTGAGCATCCAACATGGAGGCGCATCGTCAACATCAACGCCGTCGTCATGATGGCCCTAGCGATATTTTTGTGGGGCTACTATGCCTGAGCACCCAAGACGGCAGCTCTCCGTAAACCTCTTGACACCCTCTTATCCACCAACCCCATCTGGGCATAACTTCAGCCTCTGAGGGACAGTGGCATCAACGAGTTGTCAGGGAACGAGCAGACATTAACCCACCAGCCAGGATCACCCAAGCCCACCAAAGACCAACCCTTGTAATCCAAGTCAGAGAGGGCATCGTAATGCAACACACGGAAGGAGAAGCTGAGACCTTTCAGGTGTTGTTGGACTCCAGTTCCCATCAGCCCCAACCAGCATGGCCAGGGATGATGTGCTTTGTAGTCTAACATCAGGGAAGGGTACTGGCTCCCCGTCCGTGCTGTAGCAAAATGCCCTATTGTGAAGGCCCTTCTTAGTTCCACTGTGCAATACCACATATACTGCCTCTCTCCCACTGCCCTCACCTCAAAGGTATGAAGCCTGCAAGGAAAGACAAACCACCCAATGTTAGTGGCGTTGCAAAAAAATAAAAGAATGGCACGTTCTTCTTGGAGGCCCCACCGATTTGGCACCTGGGGTCCTCACCCCTTCGAGTCCCTAGAGCAAGACATTCTAGCTTCTTGTCCATGCTTCCACTTTTCTTAGGTCTGGTCATCCAAACCACACACTTTCTCTCAATGCTTTTCACCTTCATCACATTTGTGCAGCCCTTGGAATCCAAGCACCCCTCATGCCGTCATCACCATTTTCACCAAGGTCGGTGTAGCAGAGGTTGTTTAGTTCCTCCAAAGCCACATGGAGGTCATGAGAGTCAGGGATAAGGGTACCTCCCTTATGACTTGGTTTGAGGTAGGCAATGCTAGCCTGCCCATCCCCCCCCCCAGAAGGCCGCACATCTGACAGCACCAGCAGCATCTAGACCCAGTGTTTTGGAAAACAGAGAGGCCAAAGAACGGGGGAATAAATGTGACTGTGAAAATGGCCAACGTGCTTTTGTATGTTCTAGGCCGGAGGCAAATGGGGAACCGGAAGGAGGGCAAGTTCCCACTGCAACTTATTCTGTCAGGAATGGAGATGTGTCTGCCTGAAGGTTCAATTTGACAAATACAGGCCTCAAAAATGCACAAGGAAGTTATCGGTACTGCAAAACTACTACATGCACATATATAACATTTTCACACACAAAATGGAAAAGAAGAAACACTTTTAAACTTAACGTTTATAAAAAAAGGGGTTTATTTTTGTGTTTCCCTCTCACCCTCAAAAAATCAGGGTGAGCAGCTGGTGAGCACTCATATCCCAACATCAGGTACCCTGCGCTCCCATCCATTTTGGCATTAAAAACTCTGACAACCCCACGTGAGGAAGAGACAGCACCTCTGCCATCCACTCTTTCCAAGGCTTTAGCAAGTCGCCATGTTAAACGTCTCTTGGAGTTAAAGGGTTTTCTTTTCAGGGATGGTCCAATCCATGCGCCACTCATCAGGGCCCAGAAGGTTCCGGTCTGTTACCCATCCTGCTGCTGTCAATCCTTGGAAGAGACGGGTGGGTCCAAAGTGAAAGGAAGGGAGTCTTGTTTAGCTATAACTATACATTCAATTAATTCTCAACCTACACTTTCCTGCTCCTACTTTTCTGATACAGGACAATGCAGAAGGGTGAAATATAAGCGGGACTGAATGGTTTTTTGGGGGGAGGGAAGGAGTGAGGATTCTTGCAAGGAGAAACAGCATGAGAAATCATAAACACTTCTGCAGTCTTTTTAAAGGAAAGCAAGTTTCCACTCCCTAGGATTAAGTTGAAAATCTGTGATGGGCAAAGCCTGATAAAAGTTCTGAGAGGATCTGAGCAGGGGCTCTAACAGGAGTGATTCCCTTTCCCCAGATCTAATTAATATACTATTATACTAATATTATTATGTACAGCTAAACAAGCAGCTAGATGCAAATCTATTATATTTTCATAACTTACCTAATTTTCATAACTTACACTGGTCGTGGAAATGTAGCTTTGCTCAGTGCTGCATTCAGAATTTTAATTTTTTTTTTAAGTAAAGGTCAGCATCTATATCACGACCCCACCATACCTGCCAGGAATTTGGGAAATATTTTGTCCAACAGCTGATGTGTTTCAGAAATCGCAGCGCTGTCCTTATTCTCAGGTTCTGAATGATCCAAAAAAGAAAAAGAAGAAGGAAATCAGAGCATCCTCCCTGGGCAGGGCTGCACCAAGAAAAGAGCGCAGCATATTCAAATGGGTACATTGTTCACACTTGAACTCTAAGTATACGGTGGGCTATAAATGCAAATAAAATAAACTATCAAAGAGCAGCCCAATAGGAAGGGGGAAGTCTCTCTCTAAAAATGTCAGAGAGAAAGATCACCTTCCCAACCCTTTAAGTCATATCCTTTAAGCCTCGGATGGACAGCTGTTTTAATTTTGTTTTATTAATACATTTCTATCTCCCCGCTTTCTTCCAAGAAGAATGTGGTCGTGTACGAGGTTCTCCTCCTCCTCAGTTCATCCTCATCCACAACCCTACTGACCCAAAGTAGCCCAGTCAGCTTCCTTGCTGAGTGGGGACTTGAACCCTGCTCCCCCAGGTCCAGCACTCTAACCACTACACTACACCACCACGTACCCCTCTGCCTGATTTCACACAGTCCTCAACCTGATTTCATGCAGGTGGGCCAAAGGGCAGAAATGGGGGTGAGGAAGCGGGCCGTGGAAAAAGTGACACAAGAAGGATGTCCCGCCCACTTTTGGCTCTGGGCCCACCTGCCACTCTCCACAGGGTAAGAGGGTAAGATTCTTCACCCGTCTTATAAGTGGAGATGCCAGAAATTGAAGGGGAAAGCTGTGTGCCCCACCCCACTGAGCTGTAGCTGCTCCCCACTCCCCTTCCCTCCTGGTTCATCACCTTCACGAAGCCTACGCTGCAGATCCAGGAGAGACTCTTCCTCCAAGGCAGACATTGCCACATCTTGGTACAGCAGGACTTCCAGGAGGAAGGCGTGAGTGCAGGCTTTAATTACATCCACGCTGCCTGCCAGTCGGTGTAGGAGAATGGAGACAGTCCCTGGGGATGGAGGGAGAGAGGTGGGGCAAGGTCATCGTCATCGTTTTATTTGTATGCCGCCTTTCCATACTTAAAACCAGTGTTTTCTCGGGGGGGGGCCACAGGGGTACACATACCCCTAAACGTTTTGTGAATCTTTGTACTTTTGTCCATTTACTGTATTTATTTTTCCTTATTTGAACTATCAAATGGTGATTTTCTTGAGTCAAAATGAGAGTATCCCTAAATGTTTTTTTAGGGGGGGGAAGCACTGGTTAAAACTGTGCTCAACGTGGCTTACAATGTGACAAGATTTACACCATTGCAAACCTAACAAAAGTAAGGTAAAGGTAAAGATAACCCTGCCCGTACGGGCCAGTCGTGTCCGACTCTAGGGTTGTGCGCCCATCTCACTTAAGAGGCCGGGGGCCAGTGCTGTCCAGACACACTTCCGGGTCACGTGGCCAGCGTGACGAAGCTGCTCTGGCGAGCCAGCACCAGCGCAGCACACGGAAACGCCGTTTACCTTCCCGCTATAAAGCAGTACCTATTTATCTACTTGCACTTGGGGGTGCTTTTGAACTGCTAGGTGGGCAGGAGCTGGGACTGAAGATGGGAACTCACCCCGCCGCGGGGATTCGAACCGCCGACCATGCGATCGGCAAGTCCTAGGCACTGGGTTTTACCCACAGCGCCACCCGCGTCCCTAACAAAAGTAATAAACAATAAATAAAACACATAAAAAGTACACAACCAAGTTGAAACAATTTCCACATAAATAATAAGATCTAAAAATAAAGATGCAGAAATCAATACCATTAACTTACAAAAAAAAACCCAACTTAAGCAATATCACAGCCTAAGAGTGTGTTCAGCAGTTTTTGTAGCTGGAGTCAGTCCTGTAAGGCCTGTAAGGCAGGCAGCAGGTTTTCCAGGACTCACAGCCAAGATGGTGCTCAGTATTCTCACATGCTGACACACCTTTCTACTAGGACCCCAAATCTGCGCCAGAGGTTGCATCCAGACCAGCCTTTACTCTGGCAGAGAGTGAAGTCGTCAACTGGGATTGGGAATTCAGGACCAATTTAAAAAACAGGTAAGTTTAATTCATGGTCCAAACTTAGCTGCCCCTTGAAATATCCATCTCTATTGTTATTGCTTCTGCTACTCCAGTTTACACCCCACCTTTCTACATTAATATATGCTCGCGGCAGACTGTAATCAAAATACAACAATCTAGTAATTGGGCGGGGGGCGGCGGGGATACAAAATAAAAAATGTGATGAAAAAAGGATATATGTATGAGATTAAAAAACAACAACCCAAACTCATTTGCAACCTCTCTCTTTTTCATACCACATTGCTAGGAAACTTCACACATGCCTCAGGCTGCAATCCTAACCCTATTTACTTGGGAGTAAGCCCCACTGAATTCAATAGACAAGATTGGTATTGTGCTCTTAATAGCCAGACACTTCATATATGTAACTTTCTCACTGACCCACCTGCTGCTCGGTTGAAGAAGATTAAGTGATTTGTGGCATTCCCTTCAAGGGCTTTCTGGAAATCTGCAACTCTGGTTGGAGTTGGAAGAGAAATTCATGAATGCCAAAAAGTGATGCAGGTGCACTGTGGCCAGGATGGGAAATTCAATCTGAAAGACAAACCTCTGGGACTCCTCTGCACCCAGGAAGAATAAGTTTAGGCCCTGGGACCAAAGGCTGCATCTAGAAGCCTGCCTTCATTAGAATAAATGCATGGAGTTTTTTTTACTTTAAAAAATTTAATTACATTACTTTTAAAATTCCTATAGACACCTTTTCCAGGTTATATTTACACACTGTCACTTGGCAACAATGCGGAAGTGATCGCCCCCCACCCTCTGGAATGCCTTCTCCTCAAGGATTTTGTGACACTTTCAAAAGTCCGCTTATCCAAACCTGTCCTGGACTCTTACATGTTTAATTCTCTGTTCTGTACACTGCTCAGTTTTATTCGTGATATGTACTTCTTTTGTTTTTAAACCAGATTTCTAGGAAATCTTATTCGATTGTTATTGCTATTGCTTTCATCATTTTTATGTCATGCACTTGGACATTTTTAGTTATAATAAGTGGGCTGAAAAACTTCACGAAGAAATGGCAAGCTTAGGAACAAATTATCTTCCAGAGAATGGAGGGTTAAAGGGGCACCTGATAGTTCTTACTCACCTGGAGGCCACAGTGTGGAGTGGTGTCCCAAGCTTCATCCTGAGCTCCTGCTGAAACCCTAGGCATGGGGGGTGAAAAACCTCCGGGTTTTTAAGGATGCTGAAGTCCCACCATGTTGGCAAAACCAAGGTAGGTCACCACTGTGACAGACACGCTGGCAAAACCTTCCCTGACCTTGTACCCTTCAGATGTTTTAGACTGTGGCTCTCATCTACAACTGGAGGTGTCCCTGCGGAAAGCTGAGCGAGCCATACAGAGAGACCTGGAGGGCAGCATTTGGCTCCCCATCTCTGACCTGGGACATAATGTGACTGTCAGTTCCATGGTCTCCCTCTCCCACCAAAGGATGGGGTGGGAGGGAAGAAGAGGAGACGGATGGCATGAGCATGGCCAAAGCTCTCAGGGGGCACCACTCCTCCTTCCCCCTGGCACCAGAGGCTCCTTACCTGGCACCAGAGGCTCCTGAGGGTTGGCGAGAGCAGGTCCTAGCACTTTACCCCGCTGCAAAAAAGGCCGCAAGACCAGGCGGAGCCGGGCACGGTTGAGGGTCTCCATGCAGACGGATCGTACCGCCCTATAATTGGCGTAGAGATGCAAGGCAGTGAAGAGGCCGTAGAGGGAATAAGTGAGGCTGAAGGGAAAGGAAGCAGACAAATCAGAGAAAAGACTCACCTAAGAAAGGACCTTCTTCTGTCCCTCAGTGGCCCCTGCCAAACACTTCCATTCCTTCTATCCTTGTAAAACCTGACTCTTCCATAGCCCACCTCCCTACCTGCCACGCAGAGAGAGAGAGAGAGGCAGCATCCTTCCACTCACCGGAGATTGTCTGCTACAAGAGGAATGAGGAGAAGACTGAAGAAGAGGCCAGCTAGGTTCACCAGGGTCTCCTGGGTAAGTGAGAGAGGACGTCACCAGAAGGCAAATGGTAGGCCTCAGGCCTTGCACAGCCCTAACAAGGGTTGGCCAACGCATGCCTCATTCCATCCACGCCCCCTAGCGCTCTCACCTGGCTTCCATCTTTGGCTGAAACATCGGCCATGTTGTCCCGCCGGGCCTGGTGCATGGTGAGGGCTGCCCGAGTGGCCCCTCCAGCAACTCCCACAATGCACTGAAGCAGAGAGAAAAATGGAGATGGAAGGAGAAGAGAAAGCTTTGTGGGTCACACACAGACACAACTACATACTCCTCCAAACAAAAGACAGAACATGACACCATGACCTCCTCAGCCCCCCAGGGTATCCACAACCCATCAGGAAAATCAGGATGAAAACGGACACCAAGCTTTGTCCCTTAGGCCACATTTGCACCATACATTTAAAGCACTATGAAACCAGGTTAAACTGTGGCTTCCCCCAAAGAATTCTGGGAGCTGTAGCTTGTTCAGGGTGTGGAGAGTTCTTTAAAAAAAAACCTGATTTTCCTCCCAAAGTAGAATTCCCAGGGTGGTTTAACAGCCAATCCCCAGTTAACTCTGGGAATTGTAGTTCTGTGAGGGTAAACTACAGGTCCCAGAATTCTTTGGAGGAAGCCACAATTGTTTAAAGTGGCACCACAGTCCTTTTAACATATTGTGTGAACATAACCTTACAATCATAGCTGTCAATGTTTCCCTTTTTTAAAGGGAAATTCCCTTATTCCGAATAGGATTCCTCGCAAGAAAAGGGAAAAGTTGACAGCTATGCCTTACAATAAATGTCTCACCCATTATACCCGCCAAGTTCCACTCCAGTTTCACATCTCAATTATCCCAGCATCTCACCAAGCCAACTCCCACCCCTCCTCATTTATTTATTTTTACCTTGAAGAAGCCACTGATGCACACAATGAGAGTGAAGCATGCTGGGAATGCTGGGGCCAGGATCTCCATTAAGATGGCCATGTCATTCAGGACATCAGCAAAGAGCCTAAGAGGTGTGGGGTTTTTTTGGGGGGGGGATATTAAATGTCAATCAAAGAGAAAACATTGACCCATCAAGTGTCTGTCTAAGCACAACACCCACAAGAAGGCAATTAACGACAACCTGGAATCTAAATATCCATACAATACAAACTGAAATAATGTGGAACTGGTGTTATAAAATTATTCTATATCACAAGTATAAACAATTACAAACATGGCCTGAAATCACTCAACTCAGTAAAATAAACCCAAACACATTTCGCCCTTATTGTATTCCCCAGTAGTCAATAATATTAATACATACATATGTACACAGAGAGAGAGAGGCATATATTTCAACGTATTTCAAACAGTTGGAGCCATCAGTGAAATTAATAAGTAAACGCACATCAAATAAGGCTACTACTGGTCTTGTTTCTTATCATACTACAGATAGCCACATATGTGTCCCTGTAAACCAAAACTAGCACTCAAGCAAAGCCATAAACTATCCTTCCAACTGGAACATATGTCTAAAAGTGTCCTAGCTAATGAACCAACAGAAAGTACAGTTGGTGATAAAGTACTGGATTTGTACCTAATTTTAGACATGCAGCTAGAGAGGAGGACACCTATGAAGTTGGGGTCAAAACACCCCTTTTTACCTCCATTGCTTTGCATCGCAGTCCAGTTTGCTCCTGGAAGATAAAAAGGAAATGGGATAATGTGAGAAGGAGGAGGACAGGGCCCCATAGAGATCAAACTTGGAAAACAGCCGGTGGTCAGAATGTCAAATTAGGACTGGGCAGAGGACCAAGGTTCAGACCCCCACTCAGCCATGAAGGGCCCCCTTGCAGCCTAGCCTACCTCATAAGGTTGTTGTAGGGACAAAACTGGGGCAGGGGGTGTAAAATCATGCATGCCACCTTGAAGGAAAGGTGGGATAGCAATGGCTTCTAGCCATGATGGTTCTGTTTCCGCCCCGCTGCCAGAGGCAGCATGTCTCTGTGTACCAGTTCATGGGGGGTGGAAAATCTCAAGTGGGGGAAAACCTTTGTTGCCCTCAGGTCCTCCTTTTGGGCTCCCCATAGGAATCTGGTTGGGCACTGCATGAACAGGGGGTGGGACTAGATGGGGCTTTGGCCTGATCCAGCAATGCACTGGAATAAATAAAACAGGAACAGTCCCCCCCTTGCACATTTCCCCACCCCCACCCCCCACTAGCACCAACAACACAGGGCGGAAGCAGGACTCACCCCTTACTCCAGGCAAAGAGAATTCGGCCCAGCATCCCAGTCCCATCTGAGGAAGAAGGGATAGAGAGCCATCAGTGGTTACCACAAAGGGGCAACTGGTCCACGTGAGACTGGAGGTTACAGGAAGCTGGCTCGCAACACAGTTTGAATCTGCAAGTTACAGGAGCTTCTTTTTGGAGTGGGGTAGAGACTGTATTGCTGGCAAGATGAGGAATGAACTGGAAAAGGGAGAACAGTGCTGAGGGGGTCACCTTAACCTGAGTAGTTCTAGGTTCAAATCAAGATGAACAAATTTGGGGAAAGGCTCTGAGGGAGCAGTTTTACATGGCGCGCGCGCACACACCACACACACACACACACACACACCCCCGCTTGCCGAAACTTAGGCCACATTCAGCCATGGGCTCTATTGCATTAGTTGTACTGTTTATACTGCTATCCCTTCTGTTTCTGATGTTTCTAAATGTAGTGGGGCAGTCAAGAGGGTTTGATTTTGTGGGCACCAGTAATTTAAGTGTTGTTTAAATGCTTACTAAGCATTCATTTTTTAGGGACACGGGTGGCGCTGTGGGTTAAACCACAGAGCATAGGGCTTGCCGATCAGAAGGTTGGCGGTTCGAATCTCCGCAACGGGGTGAGCTTCCGTTGCTCGGTCCCTGTTCCTGCCAACCTAGCAGTTCGAAAGCACTTCAAAGTTCAAGTGGATAAATAGGTACTGCTCCGGCGGGAAGGTAAACGGCGTTTTCATGTGCTGCTCTGGTTCTCCAGAAGTGGCTTAGTCATGCTGGCCACATGACCCGGAAGCTGTACGCCGGCTCCCTCAGCCAATAAAGCGAGATGAGCACCGCAACCCCAGAGTCAGCCGCGACTGGACCTAATGGTCAGGGGTCCCTTTACCTTTAAGCATTTATTTAAAGTTCCAAGCAAGCACCTCGAGCTACTTTTAACTGTGAGAAAGGATCAGAAGAGGAAAAGTTGCAAGAGGATGAACAGAAGGGCAAGTCCCACCTTTCAGGATCCAAGTGACAGTGGCAGCCGTGACGGTTGAAGCCTCATCTCCGACTCCCACCCCTTTCAGCACAGCCTGGGTGGCCAGAGTCCCTGTGATGCTACTGGCAAAGGCCTGGGTTGGGGCAGGGAAAAGAGGGGGGGCAGTTAGGGCAGAACAGAGGAGGGCTTTTGCCCCACTTAACCACCAGTCTGAGACCTTCCCTTGGGCCTTCGATATCCTATCCTGCCTCAAACCACACAGTTTCATCCGAGCCAAAATACTTCCTTTAAAAAAATACCCTCCACAGAACTGATGCCCTCACTTTTTCCAGCCTCTGATAATGAAGAGGGCGAGCAGGATGTTGGAAACCAATCACCCCACTGAAAAACAAACCACCCCCACCCCTGCCCCACCAGGATGGAAAATAGTGCCCTCACCTGAACTGTGTCCCAAATCTGGTAGGCCAGGTAGTCTGAACTCACACTTTCAGGATAACCCTGGGGTAGGAAGACCAACTGCAGGAAAGAGAATAGAGGTTGTTGTCGTTGTTTTTAAATTCACGACCACTGAGACACATCTGTTTTGACTGTTGAAGTACTTTGGACTTGTTGCCACACGTTTCCCCTCTCATCCCCATCCCAAGAGAAAAGGGTGGCTGTAGGCTCAGCAGCCCCTCTTTGATTTTTTTAAGAGCATTGTTTTTGCGTCCCAGAGATACGTTGCCTTTTATGCCCACCCTTAAGGCCACACGATATGTTTCAAGCGGTATGATACCCCTTTAACTGTCATGGCTTCCCCCAAGAATCCTATCCTGGGAACTGTAGTTTATTAGTGGTGCTGAGAGCTGCTACAAGACGCCTATTCCCCTCCCAGAGCTACAATAACCAGAGTTCGCTGGGAAGAGGGTTTGCTTGCTGAGCATTTTGAAAAAATCTTTTAAGAGTCAGGGATGCTTTTCCTCTTCACCCTCCTTCCTGCCAAGACACAACCTGGCATAATACGCAGCACTCGCTCCCACTGACAGATAACACATCACACCCAAATTCTGTCCTACATCTGTTCCCAACCAATTTCCCTTCTTCAGAAACACAAATCATGCAGCGTCCATGATGCATCTGGTATCACTTATCCCTTTCTGCTCCCACACCTGACACACACACACACACACACACACACAACACACACACACACCAATACACACCAAGGCATCCTTCATCCCATCACTCCAGTATCTTCTTCCTAAACCACTATCACCAAACAGTCCTTCCATCCACTCTGCTAAATCTGTACTGCAAAAACACAAAGGGACAATGGATGTTTGTGTGTGTGTGTCTCATACACACACACACACACAGAGAGAGAGAGAAATTTAATAAATAATAATAATTCACATATACAACATTCAGGAGCCTTTTGGAAACACAAACCAACAGAAGCTGTTTTCTCACCATGAAGATCTCCCGTAGTGAACGGAATCCTCGATTTTGAGGTCCGTCTGGAATGCAGTCTAACCTTCCATCAGGCAAGGCCCGGTAGTGCTGAGCACTGCGAGAGCCATAACTTTCCATACAAAGTGGCTGAACCCCCAAATTGGTCATATCTCAAGCAGCTCCTAAGCTGTTAAGGACACAGAGTATTATTAATCAATTGTTAACTTTGCATTTGAGAAACAGAATATGTGAATAGGAATGCAAAGGTTAGGACATGAGAACCTCAGGTCCAAGGACTAGATATGGCTCTCTAAGCCTTTCTACCTGGCCCTTGGGATTCTCCTTGGGGCAGCCATGCCTTCTCCTGATAAGGGCTCCCCCTCTGATAAGGGCTCCCCCTCCGCTGTACATTTAAAGTAGTAGCATACCACGTTAAACAGTCATGGCTTCCCCAAAGGAATCCTGGGAACTGTAGTTTGCTAAGCATCCTGAGAGTAGTTAGGAGACCCCCTTTTCCCCTCACAGAGTTGCAATTCCCAGAAATTCCCAGTATTCTCTTTTGGCCTCTGCTTAAAACATTTTCGTTTAGGCAAGCCTACCAGACAACATGTAGACGCTGATGTGCTCTAATCTTTCACTGCTGATTTTAATTATATTATAAATGTTACGGTTACTTGCTTTCTCGCTGGCCTTATTGATAATGTTAATATTTCTTGTAAACTGCTTAAAGGTTGTATTACAATCAAGCGGCATATAAATTTTGCTAAATAAAACCAATAAATTACACTGCTTGCACAAAGTACTCAAGACAGCTTGTCCCAAAAGCCCCAGCTAAGTCGTTTTCAGATGCTGGCTGCTTTAAAAACAAAACAAAACAAAACAAAACACACCTTCCACATTTAAAGGCGTGTACATCCTAGACCATTATAAACAGAGGGAATCCCCAAGTATTCAGCACAGGCCACCCAACCCCCTTTTGCACCTAGCTCCTGGGCATACATACAGATATTGTCACTTAAGCTCTAAGAATGTACGGGGGGCGCATCCGGAAGCCAGCTTTTCCCAGCAGTGATTGTTGACTGGCAGCTCTGACAGAAGCGCGCACGCCAATGCCTGCTGGCTCCCGGATCTCTCTCCGGGGCTTGGCATGGCACCGCCACCCTGAGCCCAGCCTAACCTTTGCAAGCCGCCGTCCAGGCGCCACCCGCTCAGCGCCCAGATCTATTTCGCCAAGTGGCAGGTCTCGGTTGCTCCATTCCGGGGAGGTTAGGACTGCGGAGGATGCCGGGGGATAGCTGCAAGGGACTATGGGGGCTGTAGTTTTGGGTGGCACTGAGTGCCTCTTCCTTTCCCTAACCTGTGTCCTTCTTCGTTGTTAAGATACAGCACAGTATTTGCTTCTTAGGGAAGAAAAAGAAATCCGGAGGGGTGGCCATATTAATCTGTTGCAGCAGCAACAGCGGCGCAGGATCTTTCAGGTTGTGGAAACTCTTTTAACAAATGTCTTATGGCGTAAGGTTTTGTGGACTAGGTTTACGATGCCAGGTGGCAAATTATATAGATTAAAAGTTATACCTTAATTAATGCGCTCGGTAGCACAAGACTATTGTTAAATAAATAATAAAAGCCTTTTTTGCGGGGGTGGAAAATGCATATTTACACGCACCCCAAATACCCCATCTCCAGGTTCTTAAGTCTTATCCGCGAAGGTATCGCTGCTTAAAACGCTTGCAGAGGTACACAGATTTGGCAGCAGCTTTTCCCAGCGTGGACTTGGGGAAAGCTCTGCGGGTGGAATTGCTGCCTGGCATGCAGCCGCCGAAGGCACAGGGGCTTTATAGGGGGGAGAGAGAAAGGGGGCGCCTTCCGTTCTGTTGGGGGGCTGGAGCTGGTTCGTTCCCAGCTGACGCAGCAGTTCTTTACTGCGCGGGATTTAGCTGGAGAGAAACGGGGCGCAAAGGGATGAAAACTCCACGCGAAAGGGAACCGTTTCCCCCTTTACGAAATAGGCAGCCACGTCCTCCGGGAAGCACCTCCAGCAATCCGGAAACGCCGAGGCTCCAGCAGGAACGACGGGAGGAGTTGCAACCCCGGTTCCACGGAGCTCTGGGAAATGTGGTCCTCCGTCGTTGCAGTTGCTGTCATGACCGTCCATAAGAATTTCTGCTTCTCTCCGAGTTTATTGAATCCCTTTTAAAGCCATCTAAGTCCACAGCCATCACCACCCCATGCCGTGGCAATAAATCCCACAATGATTATTATTTTTTTAAAAAATGTGGAGAACATTTATGCATACAATCTGATCATCTCCATCTGAATTAGCAAGGTGCAATGGAGGATAACCGTTGGACAGTGTTCATGAAGTTACTAACATGAGTTTGACCAAATTGCAGGAGGCAGTGGAAGACAGAAGTGCCTGGCGTGCTCTGGTCCATGGGGTCACAAAGAGTCGGACATGACTAAACGACTAAACAACAATAACGAGCTACTTGATTTGTACCTGCCTTGCACATCACACCAAGTAGTCTTTCTTACCAAAATGCAGCCAGAGAATAATATTGAGAGGGGGAGCTGTATTTTCAATAGATACAACTTGCTCTTGTCACTGAAGGTTGTATTATCTCTGGCAAGCAGGGTTGGGATAGGTAAGGAACAGGGGAAACCAATATCCCAAAGTGATCCAGCTCTACACTTGAATCCAAGAAAAGTGACAGTTGGGAGCTACTTTCATTTTTGCATTATCCGAGTTTGACTTTGCTTAGCACACACATGGAAAATTTAAGATTTGTATATATAAGAAGTTGTTTTTGTGGATGGGATCTTAGAAACAGGATTCTCTAGGGACCAGAAAGTTGTGGTATCTAAAAAGAAACAACACAGCTCTGAGCTGCTTTCTGTTTTTGGCTAACAAGTGACTTCAGCAGAAACTGCTGGCCCTCGTCAGGGCCCCAGAACCCAACTTTGTTTTAACCTCTTGTTCTATGAGGGGGCTGTGTGAGTTATACAAAAAAAAAGCGGCAAAGAAATGCTGTAAAATAAATACATACAAAGAATTCCTAAAGCCCTTCCATATTTGTACAATACTTGTAGCTACATACAGAATTTGAGATGGAGGCAAGCTTTCACTTTAAAAAGTTACTCTTTTTATTTCTGGCTGGCTTTTTCCAGTGCTAGTAAAAGCAACTGGTCCTTTTATCCTGCAGCTCAAGTGGCCTAGTGAATTGCTAGGGAACAATTCATTCTTTCCCTGCACTGCTGATTCCTCTAGCCACTTGCACTGTGCTTTCCTTCTCTGGTGACAGTTCACCTTACCAGCTCAGAACTGTGTGCCATTTGCTCCTGCCTAGTCCTGGTTAGACCCAGATCCCCCTAATCTTCACAACACTTTCCACTCAGCTCTCCTTCCTCAAGAGTGAGTCTGTTACTGCATTGGTCTTCAAATTGCTGTGTAAGGACCAGCTACTGGGTTGCAGCTTCATCTAAGGTGGGTCACAACCACAGCAGTACAACCACCATACAAATATTATCACTCCTCAAAGGTTTGTGTTAAAAGTGAGTCTGAATATGGAAAGGTTAAAGTCTGCTGTGACCACGTTAACATGCACAGCCAGTCCATGGCGTTTATGCGTGATTCCTTGTGGATCTCTGTCTCCTCAAACCCTCCTCATCCCACAAAGCTAAGCTTTGCTCTGTGAGCTCAATGCAACCTCCAGGAATTACCCATAGCAAAAGCCTCCCCCCCCCCTGCCCCCACAACCTCCAATCCTGCCGAGAACTCATCTCCAGAAGGCGGAACACAAGGTTCTAAGAACACAGGGATCTCGCAGGAGCAGATCATCTCCAACTTTTACTTCCAAAACACGGAAAACAATTATTAAAATAACTGAAGAATAAGAATGCACCTCTCCGACAAGAAGCGTTTGATCTGCATGACTGCTGCCTGCAGACAGTGGTTGTCGTAAACATTTTCAAAATGGTAGAAGAAAAAGATCCAAAGGCAATTTGGAGGGAGACCATTTGGGAAATGCCGATAGGAGGAGGAGCAGCAGCAGCAGCAGCAGAGAGGATTCCTCAGATCTAGGGAGGGGATCCAGTGAAACAGACCCAGGAAGTATACGGGCAAGGAGAGAGAAGAGAAAGTAAACCACTGAAAAGGAAACTCTGCAAAATATTTTAAATGCATGGGAAGGGGTCCATGGAGCAGAGCCAGAAAACTGGTGTGGGGGAGGAATGAGTCTTATGCGGACCCGAGGCAGGTTTTTGCTAGGTAAGCCACAGGATCCAGGCACGGTCTGTGAAAGGGACCCCCTTGGGCGGGAAATTGGACCCAGGTGTTCAGCTGATATAGATGCGGTGGAAGTCATTGGCGCCAAAGGCCGCGTTGCACTTGGGGCACTTCCGCTGGCGGGTGTCGTAGCGTGTCTTGACACAGTCAAAACAGAAGACGTGGAAGCATTTGGTGAGGACAGCATCCTTCTTGCGGGTATTGCAGCAGGGGCAGGTCAGCTTGGCCTGGAGATACGGGACAGATAATTCGTGTAAGATCCTTGACTTGGCTCTCCCTAACAAGGCTTGCCCTGGGTTGCCAACCAACCAACCTCCTCTTTTCTCCTCACCTTGTACTCCTTGATCTCCTCCTGCAAAATCTCATCAGCATCCGCGTACACCTCCACTTTGCGCTGTTTCTCCAGCTTGCGCCGCAAGCGTGATATGTCCTCCTGAGGAAGGGATGCAAGTCAATGAATCCCAAAAGTGGTTAGCAAGACGGAAGGTAACACTGGCATACTGAGAAATATTTATCAGCAGCCATGAGGGCTAGTAACTTGCTTTTTTTTTAATCTAACATTTTCAACCAAGAAGAGCATTAGAGCAGCTGACACACTTGCAGAGGAGAACAAGTTATCCTCTTTTCTCCTAGTACCTGGGCTCTTTTGAGGTTGAAAGATTCCTTCTCCTTGGCTGCTCGGTTCTCGGCCATACAGGTCTGGATCTCCTTCAGCTTACACTGCACGTGCTCCAGCTGCACCTTCAAGTCCTCTGCCAGCTGGGCAGCCTCCACTGCCTGCCAGAAGAAAAGCAACAGAAGCCACCACTTCAGAATCTCCCAAGGACAATCAGACGCAAGCAGCCCCAACAAAGGCACCCCTTTCCTGGGGCTGTGAATACATAGCGCAATTGCACTGTGTGCACCCAAAAACCAGCAATGGGAAGAGAACGCAGTAGCTTGGGAATCTCTGCTTCTAGTTTCTAGCCCCCTAAGGCCATGGAGATCAACTAAGAGGGGATGGGCAATGGCTGGGGAAACTTCATAAGCAGAGGGGCTGGGGAGAGAGACGGAACAGGATTTCCAGGTCTTGGGCTTGCAATTGCCCCCAACCCCAATTACTGACAAGACCAGAATATGTTATCTAAAATACAGGCAGAAAATATAACAAAGTTTCAAGATTGAAGAACTAAGCTTGTAGAAAGACTCACTGACTTAGAAAATAATTTTGCTTTTTGGAGCACAAGTACCCACGACCCTGGTTGTCTCCCAGTTCAGCCCATGGCTCCTCCCAGCTCCCTCTCCTCACCTTCCGCTTGTTGAGTTCCAGGGCCTGGCTGCGCAAAGTGAGCTCCTTCTCCACTGTGCCCAGATTCCCCTGCAGAACACGCTCCTTCTCCTCTAGCTTCTGCACCACCAACAGCTGTGTGTCCACCTAGGCATGGAAACCAAAGCCACAGCCTTCAGGACATGGGGCAGGAGCCTCCCCTCAAGACCCCCTCCCTTGCCTCAGGCTCCACAACCCTGTGAGGAGGTAGGGGGACGGGCTGTGCCTTACCTGGGACTTGAGGGCCAGCACCTGCTCAGCCAACTCGTCCTTCTCCTCCCGCAGCAGCTTGTGGATCTGATTGGACTTGATGCGCTCCGACATCAGCTTGAAGTTGGCGTCATCCTTCTCGCGCAGCTGCTGGTTCAGCCGCATGTTCTGCTCTTGCATGTCCTCAAAAGCCTGGCCCGTCACGTCCATTTCGGACAGGAGAGCCTCCTCCTCCTGCCCCAGCAGAGCAGACATAAGGAAAGGAACGAGATTGCTCAAGTTCTCCCTCCTTGCCCTTGCAGCTTCCCTTATTACTACACACACACGGCTGGTAATTTTTTGGGGGTGCCTGTCAATCCGCTGTTGGCAT